ACATTTCAACAGTTTCTCTTCATCTCCAGGATGAACATAAAAAGGATGTTCAAATGCAGAATTCAACATCACTTTAGACTATTTTTTTTAACTCGTGCTGTCACGGCTCACTGTCAGCTTGAATATCATTAACACCACATGCCACAGTTTACACATGTTCTACCAAAGCTGCCTAACAGGAAAACGTTTTGTTGTTGTTATAGTGCACAGTGTTTATAACAACCAAATCATGAGTTGTAAAACTCTTACTAGATAAGAACTGATATGAATTTAGAGATTCAGATTTCCATTATCACCATCACTTATCAATTAGTGTCCTTATCGATTCTCCTGTCAATTGTCATTGGGTTGAGAGTCACCACCATTGCTAAGCAGCCAACAGATCAAAGACATCACATTTGTGGGAAATAACTGTATACTGTGCAGTCAAATGTTTGTGCATGCTGGAGGCTCTGATTAGTGTTGGGGTCATTACTTAAAAGTCAAAAGATGTATTACTACTCATTATGTTACTTTTACTTTTCTCTAAAACATGACATGAAAATTATTGTCTCATAATTTACCAGTTAACAATAAAAACCTATAGGCTACAGGCCAACACACCAACACAAACCCCTATTCTAATGACGACACACTCATGACGTTTCTTTCAGTATTAAGGTATGAACACAAAGTTGACAACACAAAGCAAAAAGATGAAAACCAGCACAGAGAGACTTTAATGCGATCCCCATAGCGATTCTACTTTAGAAATAACAGGCAGAAAAATGCTAGAGCCTGACTGCTCATCAGTTTGTTGCCTGTTGAAGTTCAGGGTCTGACTGTTGGGCTGGGCTCTACACTCAGCTTTAACATCACACTGGGTTCTTGGCTAGATTAGCATGCTATCTGTGCAGATAATTGCAAAGAGCTGAAGTTGTTTTAGCAGCGCAAGTTTTCTGTCCTGTATGCAGTTTGCACTTTACCATTGTGCTCTCGTCCTTTTGTGCAATAAAAATAAAAGTTATGTCCATATTCATGCTGTAGACTGCACCGCTACTTTCCTCCTCCAGGACACCAACTGAAGTGGAACCAATAAGCAGAATCGATAGGAAAGCAGACTAACAATTCCAAGGAACTGAACTACTGGGAACTCAGTTTCCATCCTCAGCAGTAACATGAGTCATCCAGGGTACACCCAGTGAGAACAAACTTTTCAGTAAAGCAGAAGACACAATTTGCATACTGATAAACCAATAGAAATAAATGATTTGGGCAAAAAGAATTTTACCTGCTGTACATTTTGGATTACAAACCTAGAACCTTTACTAGAAATCTATTGACTCTGTGCGGCTATCTGACCTTGTGTGGCTCAAGAGTTGGCAGTTCATCTTGTAATTGGAAGGTTGCCGGTTCAAGCCCTGGCTCCGACAGTCTCGGTCGGTCTGTCCTTGGGCAAGACACTTCACCTCTTACCTACTGGTGGTGGTCAGAGGCCCAGTGGCACCAGTGTCTGGCAGGCTCACCTCTGTCAGTCCGCCCCGGGGCAGCTGTGGCTACAATGTAGCTTGCCATCACCAGTGTGTGAATGGGTGGATGACTGAATGTAGTCTAAAGGGCTTTGGGGTCCATAGGGACAAAGTAAAGCGCTATACAAATACAGGCCACTAATCTGACTTGTATAATAATCAAATGGGTGTCTTTATTGCATCCTTTCTGTATAACCCAGTTCTTTATGACTAATACATAATTCAGTTGCACTAAGATTCATGCCACAAATCCTAACGCGCCACTAAAACACTAGAAATAAAGGTGAGGCGTTTATGTGTCTCACTTACTGAACATCTCCAACACAAAGAGCTGGTCTCTTAACTGCAGTGGCTTGGGCTGAGACATAGGATTTCACTGTAGCGTGCACAGGCAGGGAGGTGAGAGAGAAAAACATGACAACATATGGCCGCTCTGGGACTGGGCCAGCCCCCGAGATTTTGGATTATCTGGCTTCTTTCCTGTAGTCAGTCACATTTCCCAAATACCAATCAGCAGCATTCAATCCCCAATAACAGATCATCATGAAATCCTGAACAAAGATGTTTGGTGGTTGTTTTCAGCTCAGCTAATGAGACAAGGACAGACTGGGCCCGAGGCTGGGTGTTTGCAGGAATGTGTGTGTGTGTGTCTGTTGTTGTCTCACTAGAGAATATTGATCACAGGCCTCCATCCTCACAATAATCACCCTGAAGTAATGCCACAGCTTCTCTTGAAGCAGCGCTGCAATGGTCTCCGAGAGTGTGAGACACTCAGCATGTGAGAGCAGACATCAGTGTGGAGCTAATCTCTTGCAGTGCTCAGCTCTACAGGTTGAATCCCTCTGACTGGTCACCTGACCTACCGTTTTTAAACAGCTGATGTCCACATGTCCAGTTTGTAGAGCACAAAGATTCCCCAGACTGCTTTTTTCAGTCTGAAAATCAACCCAAGGAGCAAAACCAAAATCTAAATTATTATTGTAAGGATGTAATTATTTTACTGAATATTTTGTTTACTGAGTACATTAGGCTATTCAAAATCAGTCTGACTGTGTGGCAAACCCATGCATTGTAAAAGTGAGTTATTGGGACAAATAGTATACTTGTTTTCTTTTTTTGTTCTGTCTTTTTGGTGTTTTATTTTTAAGCTGGTATAAGAATAATAATCCAGGAAGAATGATTCAATAATGTTTTAAAGTGTTTCCACTAAATATCAAAGTTTACTTACTGTTAAACCACAAGGCTTATGATGACGTATGGCTCTGATAACATTTCCATAAAATCACCAACACAATCAGTCCCTTAAATATTCTTTTGGAGGCATATGCTTTACTCCTTGTCTGTATTGTTAAAATCCGAAAATATGACACTAAATCAGTGTCGGGTTTGTCGAATCAAGAGTTTTAGCAGCAAATCAAGCTCAAAATGATGCAAACGTATGATGGAGACTTTGACTGCGTCGTAAAGGAGTACCAAAGCAAAGGAAAAAATATGTATTAAACATGCAGTACGACCAAGTATCCTTGTACTGTGAGGATTTTGAAGCAGACTAGCAGAAAGTAGGGCATATTTAAACCATGTTTGCAGCAGGGAGCTCATCGCTCGTGTCTGTCCACCGGGAGCAGACACGCCCAAACACAAAACATGCGACTCCACAACACACTGCAAGTCGGAACGCTGGAAAGCTCCGCGGAGACAGACACTGTTGCTGCTGCAGCGGCTCCAACCAGCCAGCATCAGCACCTTCGGATCTGCAGAACCGCAGTGGTTCATCCCTCATTCACAGCCTCCAGCCTGGTGGGCAGGCTGGCAGCTCGGTCGCTCCCTCCCTCCAACCCTGTGTCCGCCGGGACCTACCTGAAACTGGCCGGGGACTTCACCTGGATGTTGCGGCCAGACGGCGGGGTGGCTTTCCTCTTCTCCCTGTCCGCCATGCTGCCCCTTTCTCATTTCTCCGTTCCGCTGTGCAGCTGCCCGGGAAAGACACCTGAGAGAGGTCCGGCGATGCCGCGATAGGATGCTGCCTTCGAAGACTGTGGGAAACATAGTAACTACCTAAAGTGGGGCAAGAATAATCAAAACTGGTAACCCCCAAAGATTTTGATGTATTTGGAAATTATTCGCCCTGTAAAATTATCCAGTTACGTAATGTGAAAAACAATCTTTTTGAGGAGGCTTATTATTTATTGTTATTTTGATTTCATTATCATGATTGCGATCTTTAACACCGTCAAATCATCTTTTTTGTTGTTGTTTTATTTTATTTAGTTTAAATATATACTCTTAGAAATTATTCCAGTACTCAGTCACGATATATTTACCCCCTACAATCACCAACTAACCATTACATCTGATAAGCCATTTGTGTTTTCCTTCATTAAATTATATATATATATATACACTTTATGTAGACTTCTGTAGCTGCTCAGCACAACGTTAAAGTGAATGTTGACCAAGGTGCCATGGTCTTATAGTTCTGTCCCTCCCGTTTTTAAACAGACAGAGTTACATAGCTGAGATGTAATTTCCTTAAAACATCACCCAAAATGTGAACTTGAGGAGGGTCTTAAGCATTTGCATGAATATTTCTGAAAAACATGTGAGTTGTGTACGTCCAGAAGTTGATCAATTCGATTACCTCATTCTTCACTTGAACAAGTGTCAGATTTACATTTAAGCAGGTTATTTCCAAAACAGAAGACACAAAAATAGATTTCAGACAGTCGATTTCCGTCTTTAGACAGAAGAGAAGAGAAAAATTACTGCTATATGAGCTATAGGACATTAACTCACTGGGTTCTGTTCTATCTGGATTTAACTCAGACTACACAGTTCAGTTTGCTGTGAGGACTTTTTTTTTCATACAGGCACAAGTGGCTACAAAAAAGACTACAAAAATATATGATAATCTGACATATTTTTTATATGACAGCGACAGTTTATGTAATTAATAACATCATTTCTTTTTACTACAAGGGTTTAACAATTAACCCTTCTTCGTGACATTTACGAGTAGACCCTGAAGGCAGCATTAGCCAGCACGTAGAAGAGAGTTTTGAGGAACTGATGAAAAACTAGAGAAATACAGGGGTGGCAAGCCTATTTCAGGAGTTTGCAGATGACCAGATTGATTTGGACTATCATATTATTAAAGATTAGCTTAAATGTTTTACATGCAGCAGTTGTAATTTTTCATGTAACAGGTCTACAACTTGTCTTCACAAAGAAAAACATAGCTGACAGTCTTCAAGAGCCAGCAGAGGCTGTCATTGTACACATAAACACTGAAACGCTGCATATCAAAAATAGAAATGCAAGTAGTCTTCTGGAATATTTTTTAAATACATCTATTACAAAACATTTATTACAAAATCAGCCTCAGCCCTGAACTTAATACTTGGTAACACTTTTCCGAATAATACTCATATCAGTCACATAAAAAGGAGATAAAATTGGCTAGCACAAAAAACATTTTGCCACTAAACATATTGCTTAAGAGGTTGTGATGCTGTGTTTGTCTTCTTTGACGTCATTCTCATCAGTCATCACTGCGAAGTGGCAGCTTTAGAGAAAACACAGTGGTGATTAATAACAATATAAACAATGCACATGTTGTTGTTGTATTTTCCCCTTTATTTTACAGAAAAAAGAAAACATCAATTTACCTTTTGGAAAAATGAATTCCGTTCGTCGTGTATGGCCTCCCTGGCAAACTAATTTTTCCTCCTTCACACTGTAAAAAATAGAGAGATATAAACAATACCCAGATGAAAATACATAATGAAACAGGGGGAGGAGAAAAATAAGTTAATTCTAGTTATGTGTGCTATCTGTTACAAGCTAACAGTAATTTGTTTTAGCACCGGTGCTAATGGTAAAAGTCTGAGGGCACGGAACATTGGAATTCTGATCATTGCTAGTACATCAGAAGACGTACACAACACTTTCGCCTCATAAAAATCAGAAACAAGCTGCATTTCCATTGTACTGTACAGTTAAAAAAATGTATGCAGATGCTTTACAGGCATGGAAGCAAAGCCTAGTCAAATGTAATTTGTTAGTAGTTTAACTAGAAAAATACAACAACCACAAAAACTTCAATAAACAAGAAATAGGTTTTGTCACAATTATCAATACTGGAGCAGCTGCACAGTATATTCAGACACATTTAAAATGTTGGTTTTGATTAGTCCGCAAGTAACCGAAATATCCCCACAACTCTGAATACATGTGATTAAACCATAGTCTAGATTCTGAAAAGCCATCAGGGATGAAGTCTTAAGAGATACAACACTTACAGACTGTAAAGGTTGGTGTTGTTCAGTTCCTGCCAGTCTCTCCAGGTAAAATAATGCAGACAGCCTCTCTCTGGACAGGGAGTGTGCACCTGCTGGGTCAGTCCTGGCCACTGCCTTGACAGCAGAAACAGCTTGGACATCACTGTCAAGATCAGATCCCACATCTGCCGAAACTCTAAGAAAAGAAATGAGCTACATGTAGTTCTACTGTTGCTGTCGAGCTCTTTTTGGTCCTAAAACAAAAGACACCACAGATTTTTATTTTACCTTCATCCTTCTCAGGTCTTCGGCAGCGTATCTCTATAAAGGAATCTCCATTGTTGTCCCCCTGTCTAAACAGAGCAAGTCTGTTTCCACAGCAGAGGAGACACTGCTCCTTTCCCACCCAGTGAGTCGAGTAAAGAGAGCACGTCTTAATGATCAGTCTAAGGGTTACATGTGGCAACCATGAGAGATCAGAAGATTTATGGTTCATGAGGTTTTTGAGTGGAGTAAGAATAAGAAAAATAATAATAATTTAGAATTATAAATCAATGAAAACATTGGAAACTGAAGAAATTTACAAAGAAAGTGTAAATGTAAAAGTGTGCCATTATATATATAAAAAAGACACAATACATCTTCTCTCTAGCTTATTGAATGAGCTTTTTGTGGTGCTAGTGGTGTGTGTGAATTTCATTGTACATATTTGAGTCTTTTATATAGACTCTGCCTTGAAAATTGTGAAAACCAACATACAATTGAAAATATACTTATCTTACAGATTGGGGTAGGCAACTCCAGGCCTTAAGTGCTAGTGTCCTGCAGATTTTAGATAACACTGTTGTATTGTTTATAATGTTTGCACTTCATGCTTATTGTCCCTTGGGGTTTTCCGTAGTGGCAGTGGGGTGGGTTACGGAAGTGGAGGTGTGTTATGTTGTACCGAGCGAGTGGTAAATAAAGAAGATGGAGACTCACGAACCAGTTTAAGAATATATTATTCATAAGTCAAAGAACAGAATATTACATAGTGTCAGAGTAATTTGAACTTAATAATTTGTGCTAGCCAAACGCCCTTTGACAGCGCGAAATGGATTCGTCGGGAGTTCCTGCATCACGAATGGACTGGGATTCAGCTACTCTTCCCGACGCCTGGCAAAGGTTTGTGCAACATGTGAAGCTAATATTTACCGGCCCGCTAAGCGAGGAGACCCAGTGCAGCTATCTTCTTCTGTGGGTAGGAGAAAGAGGCAGAGACATTTATAACACATGGCAGCTGTCTGATGAAGAAGCTAAAAGGCTGACCACCTATCTTGACAGGTTTGAACAGTACCTCATGCCGAAAACAAACACCATTGCCAGATACAAATTTAATGAAAGACTCCAAGGCGAAGGAGAGTCATTCGAACACTTTGTGACAGAGTTAAAGCTACTCGTCAAGCAGTGTGGCTATGTTAACTGTAATGAAATGGTCCAAGACAGGATTGTCTTTGCAACCAGTTTCCCACAAGTCAGAAAAAAGCTGCTGAGCCAAGGGTCAGATTTGACTCTAGAAAAAGCCATAGACATTGCACGTTCCTATGAAATCGCACAAAACAGGTACCGCTTTCTGTGCCTTCCCTTTGGGATAGTATCAGCACAGGATATTTTCCAAAGGAAAATCAATGAGACATATGAAGGGCTCAATGGGATGGCAGCCATCGTGGATGACATCCTCGTGTTTGGCAAGACAAAGGAGGAACACGACGAGAACCTCCGTGCCATGCTTGAGTGCACAAGGGAGCGAGGAGTGCGTCTCAATCCAGAGAAATGTGTCATAGGCGCCACAGAAGTTAGTTACTTTGGACACAAACTCACCCGGGAGGGCATCCAGCCAGACCCAAAGAAACTACAGGAATTCAAGGACATGCCACCTCCTGAGAATAGAGATTGAAAATGTGACGTCATTCAAGGGTAAAACCGCAAAGAATTCTGGGAACTCGTGGCAAGAGGTACTAGCGCACGCAGGCTTTCAATTGAAATCAGTTACACAGCGATAAAAAGAAACACAAAAAACTGTCAAGAAGCTGTTGTATTATTAACTGCAATAGCCGGTCTCATGACAGCCACGGGAAGCCGACGGGTAAAGAGATCGTTTTTTTATCAGATTACGTCGTTGAAGAGAAATTGTTCGAGCCATGTTTCCGAAGTAAAAAGAGGCGACGGATGGCCTGGATTACAGCCATTCAAAGACCAAATATAACGTCCCAGAACACTCCAGCTCACAAGTTAGTCTGCTCCAAACATTTCCACAAAGGTCAGTCTTCTGTTGTAGTTAATACGTCATTTTTTATAACATAATTGGTGATATAGGTTACAAGCAAGTCTGGCGCTGAACAGAAATTGTAGCGCTATGCTCCTTTGTTTATTGTGCATAAATAGTGAATTGTCCTGACACAATATTGCGTTTTGCTTCTGTTATTACCATGGTACATTGACAAAAATATATACTTTTATTCACAGGATAAAACAGGTTTTTTTGTATCACTAATTGCCCAGTACGATTACAGCATACAGTATTATTGTCACTGCTACATTTCTGTAATGCGAACCAGAAATTATTTCCACTACTAATTAATTACCGTTTAGCTTAAAGGTCCTATTAATAAACGGTTAAC